ATGAATCATAATGTAAATATCTTTTTGTTTTCCGATGGTCTTAGGCGACCCCTGTGAAAGGGTCATTCGACCCCCAAAAGGGTCGCGACCCACAGGTTGAGATCTGCTGCCTTAGTGGGTTGCTTTAACAGTGCTTACTTAGAACAAAGAACTCAATAAACCTGTGCATCCTTCCCCTCCTTGCTACCTACACCTCTCTGACCTCACAGAGTCCTACAGTCCCATTATTCTTCCATGTTCTTCCCTCTAACTGCTCATCCTTCCTGACCTAGCCAAGAATCATGGACTAAGAATGTGACTATTCTGCATTCCTCCTGCTGAATCCACCAGGCAAAACCCCAAACGTGGATCAATGTCTCCCTGTCCATCTTTTCTGCTCCCACACCTGGCAATGGAGCATGGATAAAGCAAAATAACCCAACTGTGCAGACAAAGACCTAAATTTGTAGTGCGGCCAAGTGCACCTGGGCACCAGCACTACCATCAATCCTGTTCTTTATTTTGCAGCCTGTCTTTCGTTCCCATCCTCCCCAAAGGCCTCCTTAAGGCCCTGAAACTCCCACTCTCAGCAGAGCTCCTGCACCAATTTCCTAGAAAAAGAGAAGTCTTCAAATGTGACCTCCCTCTGCAAGCTTTTCTGCAGTCACATCCATTCTCACCTCCTTTCTTCAGCCCCACCTCCCCAGCTTCTTGGACATCCTTTATCATCATCCAGGCCAACTCTGCTTCTAGCCTTTGTGGCTAAGTGCCGCCCTTCCCCATGTCCCCTGACTTCCACTGTATTAGGGCCCACTTTCTATCTTCAGCCTCCCTCTCTACTGAGTTCTTTGATTCAGCCTAGGAATACTTACTTGCAAGTTCCTCCCAACCACCCTCCTTTTTCTCAAAACAGAAGCCTGTTCCCACTGCCTTCATTCCCTCACCTCCTGCTTAGTCCTCAGCCCAAATGACAAAACAGCTCCTACTCCACAGCTCGACTGACACAGCGCTCAATGGGACCCACAATCAATACCCTGCGTCCAAATTCAGTGGGCGTTTTTTGGTCCATATATTACTGGACCTCATTGCTGCATCAGTTCGCTCTCCTCTTCTTATAACTGTTCCTTGGACTACCGGCTCTTCTGGGTCTCCTTCCCCTCACTGGAGGCTCATCCTCTCGCTCCTTCAGGACCGAGACTTAAACGTTGGGGACCAAAGCACACCCTTGCAATCCGTCCCCAATCCACAAGTCTGCCTTTTAGTTAATGCACCAGAAACTACTACTTCTCGTCAGACCGGACAGTTGCTCGCCTCCACTTGTCTCTCACGCAGCAGGCCCGCCCCTTGGCGTAGAACGCCCTCCCCTGGGGACCCCCAAAGTCTCCGCCTCTCTACCCTTTCACACGGGAGGCTGATTCTTTGCCTAACACGTTGGTCACTCCCACTGGGCTGTGAAAACCTCCAGAGCAGAGCTGTCCGGCTCCTCCAAGGCCCCTCCCGGGGCCAGACACTTAACAGGCGACCAGGTTTGTTGCGGAAACAAATTCAAGAGGGTGAGAGGCGCCTAAGAAAAACTATTCTCGCAGAGCCAGGAACCAAGAGCAAGGCAGGACCTGGCCGCGCAGCCACTCACCGATGAGGACGGCGCTGTCCAGGTTTCGGAGCTGAGCCAACAGCTGCCCTCGCGCCTGGAAGATGGGCAGGCTCCGGCGCTGCAGCTCCACAGCCTCACGGTAAGGGCTGGACGAGGGCTGGCCCAGGGGCAGCTGCTGCCTCCGGCCTCCTCCTCTGCCACCGCCGCCGGCACTCAGCAGCATCACCACTCGCCTCGTGGGAGGACAGGACCCGGCGCGGCTCGGAGGCCCAGAGCCTTGCCGGAATCTCTTGGCCGGCGGGAAGCCCGCCTCCTCGGGCATGTCGGGAGGGCACAGCGACGGGAGGTGCGAGGGCGGCCAGCTGCTGCAGCTCCCGGGAGCAGACAGCTAGCGCGCTCCGCCTCTTCCCTCCACGTGCTAGCGGCTCGCGGCGACCACCGATGACCTCACGGCCACCCCTAGCCTTTAGTAAAGGGACTGCAACTCCCAGCAAGCACTGGGAGCTTGGGAGGGCTTTCACTTCCTGAGGGCGGGGAAAGGAGCATCCGCGGTACAACGTGAAAAAGGCCCGGAGCGACGACAGCGAAAGGCAGGATCTATGGTTCCGTGGGACCTTAACCTTAGAGAATAAGGCGATCTTCTTTCTCCGTTTTTATTGTAGTGGTACTACTAATTTTAGTAAATACTCTAAGTAATACTAATTCCAGTTTCCCCTTCTCTCCCCACAATAATACTCTCTCTTCAAGGAAAGTGCTTAACTTCGTAAAATAAATGAGGAACACACAAACATTTGCGTTATTTTAATCGTCCAAACAATTTATATTATAGATACTGGTATTATCCCCAATTTACGGATGAAGAAACTGAGCCTCTGAGATTAAAGTCATTCAGAAGTCACAAAATCAGAATGTTGAAAAGAATACTGGTGATCATCTTGTGTGACAGAAGAGGAAAGCGTTATGTATTCTATGAAAATCACGTATTATCCTCAGAAAATGACTATCCCAATGGACGTGGTCTGCTCCTATAATACAAGCCAGGAAAGAGGGAGTTTAATGGAACTAAAATAATCTTTTACCCTTCATTTCCCAGCTATCCCTGCCAGACTCTGAAGTTTTCCACAGAACTTCTCAACCCCATCACACAAGCACCAATGAAAAGAATCAGGACTCCAGCAGGGAAAATAGGACAAAAACTAGTTCCACTTTCTCCTCCTAAATTCAGAACTCTTAGATGATTTGCTAATTCACCACAAGCAGCTGTTTGCTCTGTGTACAGGAAATGTTTTCCAAAGATTTTGTCATAAGCTTCAAACGATGTGAAGGACTTCTGGAATCCTCTGAAGTTCATCTCCATGAAGCTCATATTTGTGAACCTGTTAAAAATCCTCCTTCCCCCCTCCTCCAGGTCAGAAGCAATTTTCCTCTAGTTGTTGACGGTATAGTGACCAGGGGTTACTGAAAATGTGCATGTTGAACTAGTAGCCGACACGTGTTTAAGAATAAATTGACAAAATTTCACTTTCTACCCTTAAATATTTAGAAAGGCAACCCAAAACTAAGAGAAAATAGCTGTCTTGGTCATATCAGGCTGCTGTAAAAAAATATCACAGACAGGGTGGTTTACAAAAAAAAATAAATTATTGCTGTTTTGGAGGGTGGGAAGTCCAAGGTAAAGGTGAGTGAGCATGGTTGCCTTTGGGTGAGGGCCCTCTTCCTGGTTCATTGCTGCTGCTTTCTTCTTGTGTCCTCACATATTGGAAGGGGGTAGGGATCTCTCTGGAGCTTTTTTATAAGGCGTTAATCCCATTAACGAGGGTTCTACCCCATGACATAAACACCTCCTAAAAGGCTCCACCTCCTAATACCATCACATCAAGCATTAGGATTTCAACATATGGATTTTGGGAGAACACAAATATTCAGACCACAGCAATAACTGTTAACTTACAAATTATAGACCTTGAGTATGTAAAAGACTGACTTCAGTCCTTTTTCCCAGTGTGCATTCCAGGGTAACCTAATGGAGGAGACATATGCTCCAAGTGAGTCCAGGTAAGTAATACAAATGAGTTAAATCTCTTGATAGAAAACATGCTGTCTCTAGAAGCAGCCATTAATTACCTCTAAGTAATAGCTGCCTGCCATGTAGGCCAGGTATTGCCAGATCTTCCCATTTTTTTCAAGAAAAGGAAAAAAAATGAAGATTTTTCATGTGAAATCTGTCAATTTTAAATGTTGACTCAATTTTTTTTTTAATGGTGTAGACAAAACAAACCACATATGTAGGCCTCTCACCCATAACCTTTGGCCTATTAATCCAACTATCCTCAACAGCCTCAAAGAGTTGAAAATAAAATCCTAGAGAGAGGCATCAAGCAGTGTTACACACATCCTTCACCCCCAATATTAGGAGTCTTAAATTTGTATCCCTCCGAAAGAAGTCTCTTGTGATGAAATGGCTTTCATGTGCAGATGATCACAGCTAATCACTATTCAAAGAATATTTGGGCTTTTCTTCCAAATGGTGAATTGTCAGACACATTTATTGTGCAGATGATCACAGCTAATCACTATTCAAAGAATATTTGGGCTTTTCTTCCAAATGGTGAATTGTCAGACACATTTCACTCTTAACTGCTCTGGAATGGTCTGTGGACGTCACTGTCTGTTCTCACCATGATCATACCAGCTGGTGGTCACTGTTGTTGGCTTGCTTGCCTGACCACCAAACCACTGTCCTTGATCATGGTCAGTTTCATGCCACCCTGCTTCGAGACAATCATAAGCCTCAGCAACTGGGTATAAGCTTGCATGCATATATACATTAACCCCCTTTATTAAAAATACCAGAGTTTGCTGATCAATAAACAAAGTATTTATTCAGCACCTATGTGCCAAGCACTGTGCTAGGCACTGTGGTGGATACAAAATTTAAGACATAGTCCCTGCCCTTAAGGAGCTTACATTCTCATGGAGACAAAACTAATATACACGTACCAGCTAGAAACAGTACAAGACAATATATAATTTGGTGTAAGAGTATGTCATACAGACTTGAAGCTTTATAGGGATTCAAAGAAGACAATGAAATAGGCCTCAGAATCAAGATTTCTTGAGGAGCCAGGAAAGGGGCCAGGCCTTGAAGGACTGAAGAAAGGTAAATTGAGGTCCCTCTTAGGTAGAAGTGGGAGTTAAATTTCAAAGGAAGACAAAAAGTATGCATTTGATATGGAGGCTAAGAAGTCACTGGATTTCTGAGCAGAGAAGTGACTTGATCATAAAAAGTCCAACAGCTTTAATGCAAATTCATGTAATATGAAAATAGCTTAGGGGCCATCCCACAGAATACCAGAAACCTCGGCATTATTGTGACTACAACACAGATGGCACTCACCTGTCAAAGGAAAACACAACCATACATAAAATGCAGGCTATCAAGGATAGATGACAATTCTAGGAGGTCCCGTACCTGACCTGCCAATAGCTCCAATATCTCCTAATTTCCACAGGCCCTGGTGACAGAGTGAGGGTTTCATTACCAAGATCCTGGACTTGGGTGCTTTCTGCTTAGAAGGTCTACACAAGAGGAATGAAAGATATTAGAACATGTAAGAGTGACACAGAAAAAGAACAAGTGGAAGAGAGAAACAAATAGAAATCCGTAGTGAAAAAAACACACCAAAATGTATATAAAATGTATCTCCTAGGGAGATGCAATTTGCACGTCCATTTTTTATTTTTAAATGAACGTACATTGTATTTCTACAACAAAAAACCTATGCCTTAGTCACATGTGCTTTTTAATATTACTGGTAGACTCCAGGAACCTCTTAAATTATGTTAGGTAAATTGATCACAAAATTCCATACATTGAATCTCACTTTGCAGTTTATTTGCATTATGAAAAAGAAGGGTGTTTTGGAAGAATTACGACTGAGAGGTAAGTTAGGGAAAAAATGAGGACTCCTTATGTTCAGGTAAGCCTAGGTAACCTGTTACGCAACACAGGGCTAGGGATGGTGGTAGTGGGACTGGCCAAACTGATAAGAGGTCAGTGATTGAAATTACCACCGCCCAGGGCCGAGTAGTAGCACAGCATGGCATCCTGCCACTAGGAATTCTCATCCCTAAAATCAGAGAAATCAAAATTTCATAACTAACTGTGTGTAAGCCATAAACTCAAAATTTGTTTCCTGTTTTACCTAGGCATTAGTATGTATAGACATTCCCTACTTAAATGGTCAGTGAATAGATTTCAGGATTAAAATTTTACCCCCAAAATTCCATGAATTGGATAATGCTAAGTTAACTAAGGAAGAACAAATATAACTAGAGAAACCTGTTTTCAGCCCCCAAATAATTAAAAAAATCCTTCTAATTAAATTCAAGCTTTCTTGAACAAAAAGACACGACAAAATTTAAGAATCCCAAAAGGATTATACAGGGTGGCCCATAAGTCACTTTCTCCTTTAAAAATTGAATAAAACTTTTGTTTGTTAATTTATTGTTTTTAATAATGTTAAGTACAAAAATGGGATTTTTTTAAAGGTATTTATGAAAAATGATGGCACGTAAATAACCCACATTGGAAAGAACACATATATGCTCTCTGAGTTGAAACAATAGAACACTGATTTTCGAAATAAAATTCGACAATTTTTACGTGTTGCTCTGTCATGTACTTTTCCATGATAAATTTCCAAGGAACAAACTTTTAAAATCTGAAACAAAAATTGTTTTACATTAATGACAAGCACAATTATTAAACTTTTAAATGGGAAAGTGATTTATGGGCCACCCTGTATATTCCAAGATTGACATTTTAAGATTTTTTAAAAAACCACTTTAAAAAAAAAGCAGTCCCATTAACCTACATTCCATAAAATTGCAACAATCATATTCAAAGTTACCGATCAGCAGCATGTAAAATATTTCAATTCCATTACTTACACATATTCCATTTAAAGATGCTAAAATGCTATTCACTTAACTTCATGATCTGAAAATTCCCATTTAGGATGATTATTGCGTTTAATCTAAACCTTCATCTTTGAGGAAAATCTCACACCCTAGTAAGCTACCACTTAACCAGGCTGGAACTACTTATGATGTAGTCCTGTGCCTACATGCTGTTTATTAAAACTATTTTAAATAGTCTCTTTCCTCAGGGTGTCCATTTTAGTTCTCTGGGTTTTCTGAATTACTTAAGACAGTGTGAATGCAAACTTGCTGAGACGCAGGGAAGTTAGTATTTTGGATAAGTATTTATCGAATCACAGGCATTAAGTGCCTATTTCTGTGGAATCGTCTAGTTTCTACCTGATTGGGAATGTAAACCAGGTACTTGGCTCTGAAAAGCTTCTTGGCTTTTCATGAAGCAAATGACAAATGTCAACCAGCCAAAGGCCTGGGAGAAATGTATCCCCTAACTGGTTAACTGTTCGTCTGGCTCCAAAGTCAACATTCTAACTTGTTTTCCAGGTCTAAAGATCTTTCTGTTGCTTTCCAAAAAGGT